GGAAAAGCGCGTGGACTTTATGCAAAGTACCCCTCCATGAGGGACTCTATCGCGTCACTTGGTCTAATGAGAGCAGAGGAAAATTTGATGTTGATTTATAAGTCCACTTGATCGTTTGAACTATCTTAAATTGCAGTTGATGTTTAAAAAACAATATTTCTCAGGGTTTTGTTCTTGATACGAGTTTCCGTCAGTACTATTATTTTTTATTTTTGTCATAGCTGGCTTAAGATTAGCTCAAGGCAAAGATCAATCACATTAAAAACAAATTTATTATTCAAATATTGAAAGTATCCAAGACGTGGGCTATTATTTAGAAACTGTGAATAACACTTTTAAAAAGAAGAAAAATACATGAAAATCAACTTACATGTCTTTCTTTTTCATCAAAAAAGAGTCAATGGCCTTTTTGCAAACTCTCCACRGACTTTCCTCCTCCAATGCAGGCACAGGGTAGCATTTAATGACCAAAGGTTTAATCATCGTTATCCTTGCTGGGTCAAGGGCTTTCTTCCTGCGTACTCCCTCTACATTTCTGCCCAACAGCTCAGCAGGCTGAAACATCTCTCTCACTAGACGCACTGCAAACTTTGGTCTGGAGCTTGCCATATTACAGATTTGCAACAGTCTGTTAGTGTCAGGACTGCTTAGGTTGTGTTYRGGAGAACCTGCAAGATCCTCTGTGGTGGTCTGTTGAATTGTTGTCGTCGGCGTTAAATGTTTGGTGTGAGGGAAGTCTGTGGTRTTTGGTGGTGATTTGTGGGCATGTACTGAGTCGTGTTTGTAGGTGAATTGTAACGAAGAAACTGATATAGCTCTTCAAACTTTCTGTCGATGTATGTTATGAGGTTGTTTTCCAATGTCTTGATTGCTGTCGATGTGTTGTCTTGAATAAATTGTCGTTTTGCACTGGTTTGAATTGGTTTTGACACTTGTGGATCAAGATCATCAAAAGGAGGCAGAGGATTGTTATAATAATAAAAGGATGGAAGGCGATGACTCAATGTGATGGACTGACGTCTGTTGTGTACACGGGGCAATGCTAGAGCACGATAAAGTTGGGCTGCCGACAAGAAAATTTGCATTTGCAATTGACGGTGTTGATGTGGATTCCTATTAAAGAACCAAAAGCACAATTAAGCAAATTCATAAAAAAACACTAGAAAAAACATGCTTACGTTGCTCTTATCATCGACAATCGGTTCCCCTTTTCCAGGCGAATAAAGCGCTAATACAGTTGCGGGCTGCAAATCAGAGGGAAAAGATATTATTTTTTTGATTGACATGTTTACCTGGCATATTTTTTATTACGTTTTTCTTTGCTTTTGTCGTCTTTGCTGATCTTGCGTTTGTTTGGTTGTTTGGTTCTACTCTTTCTGTGCCCTATGCAAGTAAATACACTCAAGAAGTCAATACAGTACTTTATGACCATACTAGTTGCTTTATATAACAACTAATAACAGGTTATGTTTAATAGTTGAAAAATTTATAGTTGAAAAAAGTTTTAACAAGAAAAAAATCAACTGCCGAACACAATACAACAGACATGACTTATTTTTTTCCTGTTTCCTTTTGTCGTTTTTGATTTCCTTATCTCGGCACTTGATATCTCTGAAATATAAATACTTTGCCAAGAGACACCGCAAGCTATTTTCAAAACAGCTTGGGGTGTAAAAGTATTGTCATGTTAATCAAGACCGTTTGATTTCATTGTAACAAACGCCGAGTTCAATCATAGCTGTTAATCAGATATTTCAAATAAAAACCACAAAATCCAAACCAACATCAATTTAATAGAGTTCAACTATCGTCTAAGATACCTTGTGAATATTCTGTTGTCTCTCAACCCCGCCGCAGGATGGAGTCAGGGCCATTTAATTTCTATTACCTCATTCATCCAGTTGTCCGAAAAATGATTTTATGTGTAATACAAATAAGATATCTCTGAAATTGAAAATGCACTTGTGAATGCATTTACCAATGCAAACGTTGGGCCTGAGGTACCAGAGTGCTTTTAGATATACATGTACCATTCAAATAACAAGGAATAGTAGATAAAAGGGGACTCATGGACATTTCACAAATGATCAGCAAGGCTAGCTACTCTTTTCAATTTCAAGTTAATGGAGATTTGCAGACATTCTAGTAAGGCTAGCTGCTTAAATCCTATGGGGTATAACAGCTAGGCTTGCTACTCGCAACTTTTTTACAAACCCGCATCTAAAAATCCACTGGCAAATAATAATAGGGTAATTATTTCGCATTGTGTATAAAAATATTCTATAGTATATAATGGCTGTGAATGAGATAAATGTTCCAATTCTAAAACCTGTCAAGCCGTTTAATGAATTCGAAAAAAAACTTTTGGAAGATATTATTAGTCTTAGTAATGAACAATTAAGCAATCTCTTTAATAATACTGGTATTAAGAAGAAAGCAGCTGCCATTAAAGGGTTTTTAACTACATACGAAATTGAGGGTGGAAAAATAGCTCCAGATGTATTTCTAAAAAAGAATAAATCTAAGGTGGTAAATTTAATAAATAAAAAAGAAAAGTCAGTTAAATCTAATATAATTCTAATTTGCAAGTTTTATAAGAAAAACTTAGGAGGAACTACTTATTCAACTGGTTATCTTCGTTCAAAATTAGAAATAATCACAGATTCTACTAATATTTCTAATATTTACGATAAATGGTCAGAGGATATCATAGAAAAGCTCAGTAATTATCAGAATGCAGGATCCGGCTGGATATTTAAGAAAATATTAAGCTTATCTAGATTGGTCAGGTTTAGAATTTCCACTAAAAGTAGAAGATATTGACATTTTTGAAGAAAATAATCCATATGGCATAAATGTTTATGGATACGACAATATCGAGGTCAATCCCTTGAGAATAAGTAAGAGTAAAAATAAAATAATAGATCTATTAATGATTTCTGATGGTGACATAAACCATTATTACTGGATAAAGCATTTGTCGAGGCTTGTAAGATCACAGATAACAAAGAATAAAAACCGTAGATTCATTTGCAGAAGATGTCTAAATTCTTTTAACTTAAAAGAATCACTAGAAAAACATTCAGAATACTGTGAAAATTCTAACGCCGTCAAAATGAGCCTACACAAAAAAGGAACAACTCTCAGTTTTAAGAATTACAATCATTCCATGAGAGTCCCATTTGTCATATACGCTGATTTTGAGTTTTTGATTAGCGTCATGCCAGCCAGATCCTAATAATTCTTATACTGAGAAATTTCAGTATCACAAACCATCAGGATTCTGTTATTATTTAAAAACCGTAAATGACATTTACGAGCCGGAAATGATTTCCTATACTTGCAAAAAAGACGAAGGCGTCGGTCAGAAGTTCGTTAATTCTTTGGAGAGAACCGTAAAAAAAATTATATTCCAATATTTGGTATAACAAGGTCAAAATGACTCCTAAGGATAAAGAGAATTATAAAAATTCAACCCACTGCCATATTTGTGAAGGTGAATTCGAAATTTCTGAACATAAATTTCTGGATAAAGTTTTAGATCACTGCCACTTAACTGGGAAGTATAGAGGCGCTTCCCATAATGCCTGTAATTTAAATTACAAAATTCCAAAACATATTCCAGTTATATTTCATAATCTTGCCGGATATGACGCCCATTTATTTATAAAAAATCTAGGCGTATCTGACGGCCCTATCAATTGTATTCCAAATAACGAAGAGAAATACATCTCATTTAATAAAGTAATAAAAATAGGTGGGTTCGAAAAAGATGGTAAAACATTTGAAATTAAAAGAGAAATCAGATTCATCGACTCTTTCAAATTCATGGCAGCTGGGCTGGACAGGCTGGTGGGAAATCTAAAAAATGAGAATTTCAAAAATATGAAGTGGATGTATGAAGATATCGAATTATTAGTAAGAAAGGGCGTATTTCCTTATGATTATTTTGACTCAGAAGAAAAATTGAAAGATAAATGCTTGCCGCCTAAAGAAGAATTTTACAGCAAATTAAATAATAAGCATATTTCTGATGCTGATTATGAACACGCCAAAAAAGTCTGGCGAGAATTTGAAATAGAAAATATGAAAGAGTATCGTGATTTGTATTTAGAATGCGATGTTCTTCTACTAGCTGACATTAGCAGCAATGAGAGACATTTTGCTCCCTCAGATAATTTAGTCAGCGGTTTCACGCACACCTTCTGAGCATGCTCAGTGGTATCGATTTCATATCAACAAACATGGCGAACACACGCCATTCTAGAAGTAAAAGAGTCGACTATAAGGCTTTAAACTCATTTTCTTCCGCTGATATACATGATAAACTTACTACAAGGAAACGGCATATATGTGGGTCTCGAATATATCAAGTTGAAAGAATCATAAGCCGGCGATCGACAAAGAACAAGGTAAAATTGTCGCTGCATTTTTTCATGTCGTCGAGTAATTTTACCTCGTGTTGTTTTTTTATTATGGATTGTTTTAATAATGTATGTTTGTTACCATATCAGGATTTTGAATACCTAATAAAGTGGGAGAACTGGCCACTTTGGACTTGCACATGGGAGCCCTCAATACATTTAGACGACCATCTTATCAGGTACGAGTACGTTCAGACTAGTTTTTATTTA